TCTCCCCTGACAAGCCTTGTTGTAGCTGACAGATTTTGAAGGGAAATTAGGCTTTATCAGTGTGAGTGAGTGTAGGTCTGGAATTTGACCTTCGGGACGTGATTCTGGGCTCGATTGGGTCATCTGGCTAAGGTTCAGAGTCGAATGAGCATCAATCTCATCAAAGCCGTCGATGATGACATTACAGACCTTTTTACTAGTGACCAGCGACCCAAGGCAATCGCACGAGGCAGCACCGGTACCGAGGCTTCACCCGTTTAGTTTTTGAGGCGATGAATTATTCTTTATCCACACAAAGCATCCTTATTTGCCAGGTGACAGCGATTCGCTACCCAGCAACAAGGAGAATTGAAACCGTTCCGTCTCCAGTGGACGACAGTCGGGTAAGACTTACATCTATTTTTTCATGACCTTCCTAGCTCCATACTTTTACTCGTTTTGTCGCTGCTCCCCAGCCGTCATTTTACCCAAGTTTGCATTCAGGGCGCCACCTTTATTTCGCATATCAGTCACCACGTTCAACCCCCACCGTCGACGACGACTGCAACTTCGAGAATAACGGCCGTTGGCGCTCAATCATCCACAGGTCCGGAATCGCGGCAAAGAGTCATGCCTCCCACTACCGTCTATCGTACAGTGGATATACCGTTCGATGAATCACCTGCCGCATATCAGCCGAAGAAGGTGGTCATCCTGTGTCTATCTGTTACCGTAGTATCTATTGATCCTCTTTCTCGACTCTCATTTATATGCGATTTTTAGGAGGAAAACGTCCGCACTGTGACGGTGACTATGGGCACACATCCGGTGCAGAAAGGTCTGGGATTCTCGATCACAATCGAGCGTGGACGTCCGACCATCGATAGCGTCATAGTCAGCTCACCGGCCGATCGAGCAGGACTTCTGGTGAGTGCTGTGGTTGCAATGTCCATACTGTGGCACCGTTATACTAATAGGATTGAATGGTACAGAACCATTACACAATGTAACTTTCACTTAAAGCAAGTCCCGGGCTAAAAGTAGGAGCGCTTGATGGTGACGGTTGAGGTGCGGAGTTAAGTGAAAGTTGAAAACAATGCAAGCGAAATCATCGAAAACGCTAAATTAAGGGCCAAACTTTGAAAAACTAAAGTAAGGTCGGATTTGGAAATCACACGAGAGAGCACACCGTGCCAGAGAGCGCGCTGATCTCCACATCAATGCGGTGGGTGGGAAGCGTTGCAACAAGGGCCGATGGTTGCAGCCCCTTAACGATTAGCGCCCTAACCGCGCATTTTGTGCGATGGACGTTTCTGTAGGGAAGGACACTACAAAATCCCTCGCGGTATCCTTCCTACTACTATGAGGCTAACACCCGGGATTGCCTCTAACCTCTATCCCCTGAACCGCGGAATTTGTGGCAATCGGACTTGACATGACTATTTGTAAAAACGGACCCAGCAAATTCAATCCCGATGTGGTTCTTTCTAGTGATTCTAATCCCGCGGCTTACACTTAAACTAGAATTCCATAAGTTCAAATTTCATGAAACGGCCTAGTCATGAGAAAAGCTTCCTTTTACAACTGAAGAACAATAATTTTAGATCGGAGATCGTGTGATTTCCATAAACGGTGAAGAACTCAAGGATAAATATCCGTCGGCGATCAACCGCATGTTACACGAAGCTGCCAGATTGGGTGAAGCTGAAGTATGCATTGAACGAAAGGACGGTATGTTGAATAGCTACTGGTTTCAGGAGAAAACAAGGCATTTGAACATCCCCGGTACAGGCCTAACAAATTTATGTGATGCCAATCTGAGGGGTGTTTCCGAAATGGGGCCTTTGAAGGCGACGAGTTCGGTTTCCTACCAAAATTTGGGATCTGTTTCCCGATATAATCTGTTCATTTGCCATCATAAGAATGGCACTTTCTGTTCCACTTGGGCCTGATGTCAGACTTGGGAGTCGACAGATCCTAATTCAGGCCGCTGGTCCGTCAGCGCGCTAGCAAGTCGGTTGGTTGGCTGGTACCGCCACGTGACCACGGACGTTCGCGAGCGGCCTTATGTAGGTTGAATAGCTAATACTTCAGCTGATTTAGTTCCTACACAGCTGCTCTGAACATCCAACTGTTCTATTATCAGGTTAATTCTCAATGGGAACACGAGGTCAAGCAGGGTTTTATCTAGGTCATTCCTTTTTGGGTCTCTTATGGTTAGGTGGTGGTGTGTTTGGTGAATCGCGAAGTATTCATGACCATTAGATCCTGAGAAAAGCTAATGTGCACCGGCGCTCATGTCGTTGGGGGAGGGGGAGTGGGAGGGGGACGTTGAAGTAAATGAACCACTTACAGCACCTGGGACTGGGCCTGAGAAGAGTAAGGACTCTGTGGGAGGATGCGTGCTATTTATGTTTCCCCTGCTTCTCCCCTCTACTGGGCTTAGTCCTAATGTCGCCTATCATCGGCCCTGTTTTGAATTTCCCCACTAGCGATAAGGGATGAGCGTCAGTGCGCGAAAATCAGGGAAAATGGGGGAAATTAGTAGGAAAGTGTCACCATCACTGAAGGGTTCTAAAAATATTATTCAATTAATTTGAAAGGTCTAGGCAGAGTAGCAGAGCTTGCTTAAGCGCGTTTGGTTCCCACGGATTTTCCGCTTGATTTCAACCAGCAAGCCATGGAGGATCCACGTTCTTATGTTAGAGTGCTGCTTCAATTTTTTAGGGTCGTTTATTTTAACGCTTATATTTTCCATATTTTTCAGGAAGGTTATATCATAGATGCTGCACGTGTTATTTTATTAGTGACAGGGGACATTTCTTTCTATTTTCAAATGCATGGCGCACTCCAACCGACCTTTCCTGTTGTGAATGTCCTGAATGCTTCTTTTTCTTCTATTTTCCCTTTTCACGTTTCAGCAAAAATCGCTCAAGTGAAATCGATCACATCGGTGGAGAATTTCGACAAAGTTCGTTCGGTGTTCACCGAACAGAAGACGATCGATTCCTATGCGGAGTTCAAGCGGAAACACAGCCGAGGCATGCTGCTTCTCTTCTTTTACGCTTTCTATCTGTTTGAGCCCATTAGCTGTTCTTTTCTGGATATTTTTTCATTCTGTTTTGCATGCCCCTCCTTTCTCCTATAGCAGCAGTGTTTC